CACCTGAATTCTGGCTTAAAAATAGTGGAAATTAGTACATATATTGCGGCTAGTTTATTTAATGAAGGACACAGTAGCATATTGGAAATAATGAGTAAATTAAATCTAATTATTGGGAGGCAAGCCAACATATATGCTGAACAAATGGACGAACATCGAATTACTCGGCAGTAACGATGTAACGAATCTGTGTTTAAAGAAGCTCGAAAAGCACAAAAAGACCAGTTGGCGATCGAAAGTGAATTTTATGAAGAAGCTGAAGGTCTGATATACGGTCCGGGTATTGCAGACTAGCCAACAAGTTATTCGTGATTGAAAAAAATTTGTTTTTACGACTTGAAACTTTAACGCGCTTTTTCTCAAATCAATGTATTTACACCTTATAAGCACGATAACTAATAAACTACTTGACCGATTTTCATTAAATTTGTTACACATATAAATAGTAATATCACCTTCTATTTGAACCTCTAAGTATACATAAGTTATGTTAAAAAATTACTTTTTTATTAATTTATATATCAATATTTTCTTAAAAAGTTATAACATTATTTTAAAACACCTGTATTTTTTAAATGCTTAAATTTTTTAAACTTTTTTTTGGTTCACATAGAAGATATGAATGTTGGGAACAATTTAAATGCATTCGCAAGTAATTCTAACCACTGTAGCGAATGCTAGAATGTTTGAAACGGAACCGCTCACTCCGTAACGTTTCCCTATCTGATCACTATTTGCCGTTCGCCTATAAAAGTTTTAGAATATGTGAATACATATTTTTATAGTACAAAGCATCACTAAATAGTAGTGGGTATCAAAAAGGTTTTAAACTAATTTCAACTTCACGAAAAAATAACTTGAAAATGCGCTTATTTTAGCTCGTCTAAATGTACTTCCCCCCTTAAGTTCCTCATTTTCAGCTGTTTCTTTAAATATCTGAACATATTTTCAATTTTTGCCACATCTGACATTCTTCCTCTATCAAAACCTTAAAATTTTGGTTATGAACCCCAAATTGTTTATTTAAATTAATTTATTTTTAGGCTATAAACCCAATAATAGCCGAGAAAATGTCGATAGAACGTAGTCGAGATTACATGAACGCTCGTCGCGTTGCCAAAGAACTCGAGGTCCAAATCAGAGGGATTAACCGTAACGCCCCAAGCATACCCCCATGCGGGACATCCGACGAACTAAAACAAGTCGAGTTATGGCAAAAATACATCGCTTGGGAACGCGGGAACCCCCTCCGCACCGAAGACACCGCCTTATTAACTCGTCGCGTTGTTTTCGCATTAGAACAATGCCTTCTATGCTTAGGCCATCACCCGGACGTTTGGTACCAAGCCGCCCAATTCTTAGAATACAGCTGCAAAGTTTTACAAGAAAAAGGCGACGTGAACGCGTCAAAACTTTTCAGCGAAGAAGCCGCAAACATGTTCGAACGCGCCACCGGATCGTTATTAAGCAAAAACATGTTGTTGTATTTCGCTTACGCCGATTACGAAGAGGGCCGATTAAAATACGATAAAGTACACCAGATTTACCAGAAATATTTGGACATTACAGATATTGACCCAACATTAGCTTACGTACAATACATGAAATTCGCGCGGAGAGCCGAAGGGATTAAATCGGCCCGAAACGTTTTTAAGCGAGCCCGAGAAGACCCACGATCACTTTATCACATCTTCGTTTGCGCCGCTTTGATGGAATATTATTGTAGTAAAGACAAAAACATTGCTTTTCGTATTTTCGAGTTGGGGTTAAAAAAATTTAGCGATAATCCCGATTATATCACTTGCTATATCGATTATTTATCGCATTTGAATGAGGATAATAACACGAGGGTTTTATTCGAGAGGGTTTTATCGTCGGGGAGTTTAGAGCCGGAAAAATCGGTGTAAGTAATCAATTAATTTCTTTGATTTTTTTATTAAGGATTTATTTTAGTGATATTTGGAACCGTTTCCTTGAATTTGAGAGTAATATTGGAGATTTGCAAAGTATTGTAAAGGTGGAAAAGCGTCGTTCGGAGGTTCTTTCGAAAATTAAAGAGTTCGAGGGGAAAGAAACGGCTCAATTGGTGGATCGGTATCGCTTTTTGGATTTGTACCCGTGTTCCCCTGCTGAATTAAAAAGTATTGGATACACTGAAGTGATTACAATAACTGGGGCTGGAAAACATAACACTTTCCAAGCGATGATTAATTGTGGGGAAGATGATTCGGTTTTACCCCGTCCTGATATCGCACAAATGATTCCTTATAAACCTAAATCGAACCCAGCACCAGGGGAACACCCGGTTCCTGGTGGGACTTTTCCACACCCCCCAGCGGTGGCTCATTTATGCACTTTATTACCACCCCCGAGTTGTTTTTGTGGCCCCTTTGTTAACATCGAGCAATTAATGGATATTTTTAACCGAATACAATTGCCTGATAATGTCCCCCCACCGTCGGAAAATGGGGCGGATGTGAGACTTTTCGATCTTGCGAAATCCGTGCATTGGATCGTGGAGGAAGGCGGGGGAATTGGGATTAAGAAGCGGAAGAGATTCGGGGTTGCACTTGATGGATCCGACGATGAAGAGATGCCTTTACCCCCGAGTAACGATATTTATAGGCAGAGACAACAAAAACGAGTTAAATAAAAATTAATAATTAAGTTTAATAATTAATTAAGTATTTTTTTTCGGTTATTCGAAAGATGTGAAGTTGCATTTATGTATTTTGAGTGTTTAAACAATAAAGATTTTTTTAAAATTAAATTAAATAAAGTTTTTTTTTAACATTGAGGTTATGTTTGCTATCTTTATGTTTTATTTGCTTTATAAATTCTAGACATAAATCTTAGTTAGAGTTGTGTATTTTTCTTATCATGGTGTGAATTAAATAAATTAAAAAACAGTACTTGAACGATGACATTTATTGTAAAAAGCTTAGTTTTCTACCGGTTTCGACTGTGCAACAGTCATCCTCAGGAAAACGACGTCAACGAACATAAAATAAAACAGGAGCTCATCTGATTACAATATGAAGGTTCCTTCACAAAAAACTATTAATATAACTTAACTTAGAAATAATAAACTGTGAAAACTTTTAGGCGCGCAAATATATGATTTGAGGTTCAACCTCAGTTTTTTGTCGAAACCGGTAGAAAACTAACCTTTTTACAATAAATGTCATCGTTCAAGTGCTGTTTTTTAATTTTATAAATCTTAGTGTTATGTATTTAAGTAATAATCGCAAAATGTTACCTTCTTAATTACTTTAATAGTTTTAATCGCCTCAATTAATAATTAATTTTAAATAAATTATTAATTGAGGATTGCAAAATTCGAAAAAAATATCGATTATTTCAAAAATTTATTTTTTAAGAACTAAAAGTGATTTTTCAAAACGGCTTGTTGCATTAAAAAGAGGATACTTTAATTAATAATTGGTGATATTTCCACAAAAATCCTTCAAGTAATTAATTTTATAGCGAATTTTGAAAATTGCAACATCGAAAATTTTATTAAAACTTCAATTATTGTTTTCTCAAAAACTAAAAGTTATTTTTCAACACGGGTTGGTTCATTGGAAATAAGACACTTTTATTAACACTTTAGGGAAATTTTGATACTCATATTCCAAGAACTAGATTTTATACGACTTTTAAAACTTAATCGGTGAAAATTACAAAATTCGAAAAAATTGTCGATCATTTCAAAAATTTATTTCTCAAAAACTGAAAGTGATTTTTCAAAACGGCTTTTTGCATTAAAAAGAGGATACTTTAATTAATAATTGGTGATATTTCCACAAGGATCCTTCAAGAAATTAATTTTATAGCGAATTTTGAAAATTATCGATGAAAATTGCAACATCGAAAATTTTATCAAAACTTCAAATATTGTTTTCTCAAAAACTAAAAGTTATTTTTCAAAACCTGTTAGTTCATTTGAAAGAAGACACTCTTATTAATACGTTGGGAAATTTTCATACTCATATTCCAAGAAATGGATATTATACGCATTTTTAAAACTTAATCGAAGGAAATTGCAAAATTCGAAAAAATTGTCCAGAATTGAATTGTCCGAAATTTGGACGAAAAACTCGTTTAACCCTCGCGACATTATTATTAAAACACAGCAGGGTTTCATAATTAAATCCGACAACAATAAAACACAGCAAATCACTTATCTAACTCTCCTAAAAGACCAAAACATAATCGCAGAGTTCTCTGAAGCAAAGAATCTCATTCCTTCTACTAAAAAAATACCTTCGGCCTCNGCAACATCGAAAATTTTATCAAAACTTCAAATATTGTTTTCTCAAAAACTAAAAGTTATTTTTCAAAACGTGTTGGTTCATTGGAAAGAGGACATTCTTATTAACACTTTGGTAAATTTTCGTACTCATATTCCAAGAAATGGATTTTATACGAATTTTTAAAATTTAATCTGCGGAAATTGCAAAATTCGAAAGAATGGTCCATTATTTCAAAAAATTTTTTCTCAAGAACTAAAAATGATTTTTCAAAACGACTTTTTGCATTAAAAAGAGGATACTTTAATTAATAATTGGTAATATTTTCACAAGGATACTTCAAGAAATTAATTTTATAGCGAATTTTGAAAATTGTCGGGGGTAAATACACAAGAGCTTGACTTTTAATCGGATAATTTTATTTTTACACGAACGTTTTGTTACCATAGAAATAACTCGAAATCAAAAACATGATAAAATCGCGACAGCTTTAGCTGGAGCGATTTTATCTTTTGATTTTGACTTAACTATTTTGAAAAAAAAAACTACTTTTGACTTAATTACACTTGTCAATAATGTGACAGGTAAACAAAAGTATATATATATGGTAGTCGCGTTTTTATCAGTTATAAAATATCACGGGTGATTTATTTTCTAAGTTATGGATGATGGTTGTAAGGATCGGATCTTCTAATTGCTTGTGTCGAAGTTCATTGTAATTAGTTGTAGGCAAATCAATGATGGTCGTCAAGTNAATGTTACCTTCTTAATTACTTTAATAGTTTTAATCGCCTCAATTAATAATTAATTTTAAATAAATTATTAATTGAGGATTGCAAAATTCGAAAAAAATATCGATTATTTCAAAAATTTATTTTTTAAGAACTAAAAGTGATTTTTCAAAACGGCTTTTTGCATTAAAAAGAGGATACTTTAATTAATAATTGGTGATATTTCCACAAAAATCCTTCAAGTAATTAATTTTATAGCGAATTTTGAAAATTGCAACATCGAAAATTTTATTAAAACTTCAATTATTGTTTTCTCAAAAACTAAAAGTTATTTTTCAAAACGCGTTGGTTAATTGGAAAGAGGACACTCTTATTAATACTTTGGGAAATTTTCATACTAATTTCCAAGAAATGCATTTTATACGAATTTTTAAAACTTAATCGGCGGAAATTGAAAAATTCGAAAAAATGGTCGATTATTTCAAAAATTTATTTCTCAAGAACTAAAAGTGATTTTTCAAAACGGCTTTTTGCATTAAAAAGAGAATACTTTACTTAATAATTTGTGATATTTCCACAAAGATCCTTCAAGAAATTAATTTTATAGCGAATTTTGAAAATTGCAACATCGAAAATTTTATTAAAACTTCAAACATTGTTTTCTCAAAAACTAAAAGTTATTTTTCAAAACGGTTTTGTTCACTGGAAAGAGGACACTTCTATTTACATTTTAGGAAATTTTTATACTCATATTCCAAGAAATGGATTTTATACGAATTTTTAAAACGTAATCGGCGAAAATTGCAAAATTTGAAAAAATTGTCGATTATTTCAAAAATTTATTTCTCAAGAACTAAAAGTGATTTTTCAAAACGACTTGTTGTATTAAAAAGAGGATACTTTAATTAATAATTGGTAATATTTTCACAAGGATCCTTCAATAAATTAATTTTACAGCGAATTTAGAAAATTGCAACATCGAAAATTTTATCAAAACTTCAAATATTGTTTTCTCAAAAACTAAAAGTTATTTTTCAAAACGTGTTGGTTCATTGGAAAGAGGACACTTTTATTAACACTTTGGAAAATTTTCATACTCATATTCCAAGAAGTGGATTTTTTACGAATTTTTAAAACTTAATCGGCGAAAATTGCAAAATTTGAAACAAATTTCAAAAATTTATTTCTTAAAAACTAAAAGCGATTTTTCAAAACGGCTTATTGCATTAAGAAGAGGATACTTTTATTAATAATTGGTGATATTTCCACGAGGATTCTTCAAGAAATTAATTTTATAACGAATTTTGAAAATTATCGATGAAAATTGCAATTTTGAAAATTTTATCAAAACTTCAAATATTGTTTTCTCAAAAACTAAATGTTATTTTTCAAAACGTGTTGGTTCATTGGAAAGAGGACTCTTATTAACACTTTGGGAAATTTTCATACTCATATTCCAAGAAATGAATTTTATACGAATTTTTAAAACTTAATCGGCGGAAATTGCAAAATTCGTAAAAATTGTCGATTATTTCAAAAATTTATTTCTCAACAACTAAAAGTGATTTTTCAAAATGGCTTTTTGCATTAAAAAGAGGATACTTTAATTAATAANATCGGATCTTCTAATTGCTTGTGTCGAAGTTCATTGTAATTAGTTGTAGGCAAATCAATGATGGTCGTCAAGTAAGCTTCAACATTTGGTTCATGAGAGTAAGCCTGGAGAGAGTATCTGCTAATACATTTGATTTTCCAGGAGTATAATCTATCTGTATATCATAACTTTACAGTTTAAGTGCCCATCTGGCGAGACTTTTGACAGACGCTGAAAGGAATTACAGTACTACAGAGAGAGAAGCATTGGCTGTAGTATGGGCAACCGAAAAGTTTCGTGGTTATATAGAATCATCTCAAATTTATGTTATCAGCGACCACCAACCACTTAAATGGTTGATATCAATAAAATCGCCGAGTGGCCGTCGAAGATACATGTTCTCGATGGGTTGAACTTTTTGCTCTAGAACAAGCCACCGCCGAAGCCTGTGCTCGATGGCTTATCAGTGAAATAATCTTACGATATGGAACACCACGTCGTGTTATAAGCGACAATGGACCACAATTTGTAAGCGACGTATTACAGCTAGTGACCTATGCTTTAGGATTCAAACAAAGTCTAAACCCTGTCGAACAGAAAAATAGGGATTTGAAAACTCAGTTAGCAATCCTAACTGCCCAACAACATAACCAGTGGTCTACACATTTAGCTAGTATTCGTTTTGCGATGAACACCACCGTTAGTGCTGTNAACACAGCAAATCACTTATCTAACTCTCCTAAAAGACCAAAACATAATCGCAGAGTTCTCTGAAGCAAAGAATCTCATTCCTTCTACTAAAAAAATACCTTCAGCCTCGTATTCGGCCGTTATCACATCCGTCGATCTGGAAATTGGAGACCAAGAAATTAGCGACGAACTGAATTCACAGAAACTATCGCATAGATTCTGCAAAAGAATAATTTCAAAAGCCACTAACAATCCAACCTATAAGATTAGAATAATCACAGGATGCGTTGATTCGTACCAAAGGCTACTCCAAGAGGATTTTTTTATAAAAGCTGTCATTTCCCAGTTTACGAGAGCCGTCCTCCACCACCAATTCCAAATCCATGCAGTAAATGCCATGATTTTGCTCACACGACCGATAAATGTAATGTTCCAATAAAATGCTCCAAATGCTTGGGTCCACACAGCACCACCAAATGTACCTCCCAACTACCAGAGAAAT